GGTCAAAGGCCAATCTTAAAATTTGCTACAGTCATTGAGTCATTTATGTGTATTTTCTCCTATATTTATAAAATATTTGATAATAAAATATCACATCAAATAAGAATATTTTTTAGACGATTCAATCCTTGCTATAATTCAATTATTTCAATAATGCCTTATTTTTCGCTTTTCAATATGTATTTAATTATTTTAATAATATTATACTTTTCGTTTCTCAACATTTATTTAATTTATTAATCGTTTGAACTATTTGAACAATATTATCATTAATTATTTTGTCAGCTATTTAATTATGATGAATGTACATTTGATACATTCATTAGCCTCGTTTGTTTCCCATTATTTAAGAATGAAAATAAAAAATATAGTCGTCACGGATCTCATACAATAGATGGAAATTCAAATATAGTGACTTCATATGATAGATAACGGCAATATTTTTTATTTTAATGGACAAATAATGGGAAACAAACATGGGCATTATCTTACTTTTCATTTTTTTTAGTATGTACTTAATTTATTTAACCATGTTTGACTGATTCGTTACCTTTTCATTTTTCAATATGTGCTTTTAATCATTTGAACAATATTATCATGAATTATTTTATCAATTATTTAGTTTTAATCAATATAAATTTGACATATTCATTTCACTTAATTGGAAAGTAAATTAAATTCATTAATTTTGTAGAATAAAAGTTGAATATTTTTAGAGTTTTCTTCCAATTGATTTATTCAATGAATGTCATAATACAAAGAATGAAAGGTGACAAAATCTGTATCTATAATAAATAATTTTAATATATATAATAATTAATCTTAATTGATATATTCAAAGCATATTAAGTGAATATGAATGAATGATAGTATTCGTTGAATGTATAATTCATATCCAAAGGATAAATGGAGTGATTTTTCTAATTGACTTCTTTAACTATTTAAATTGCTTTTTACAAACTAGTTTTTTTTACTTCATTTAAATCAAAAGTTCATTCCACATGACAACTTCTATTAATTATTTTTTATATTCTAACATCTTCAAATATTATTTTTAAAGAATTTGTTGCACGATCAACTATGACTAGTTCTAGAAAAACTATTAAAAATTAAATAAGCAAATTAATTGTTTAAATAAATAATTTGTAATTTGGCCTCCGTTTGATAGCCATTATTTGGCAAAAATAAATTTTGAATAGTGAATTTTTAGAGAATGTATTGTTAAAAAGTAAGATTATTTAGAATAAGGAATCTTGAAATAATGATTGTCAAATGGAGATTAAAATAAGATACAAAGAGAATTGGGATAACGAAACTTCCCCAATTGTACATTTGTGAAAAGGTACTAATGCTTGAATTGGACTTGTGATATTCTTGATGAACATGGGTAAGTGACCATCTTGTACACCAATTTATCGCCAAACTTGTGAGGAATCATGGATATGTGGGGCTTCAAAAATTACTTATAAAAAATGATAGCTAATTAAATGAAAACGTGAAAATACATAAAGGTAAATGAAAAATTAAAAAATTGGGTTGCCTTCTAATAAGCTCATTTTTATAGTCTTTAGCTCGACTTTGACAATTGAATCACGGGTACCTAAAAAAAACTTTAGATTCCTTGCCCGTTTTTCTTCTTTTGGCATTGTTCCACTCTTCATTTGATATCCAAAACTCAACATTGCCCATTTCTATTTAAGACGACTTGCCTATTCCATCTGCTTCAAATTCAACATTGAAGACTTCTACTTCCTCATCGAGCTTATTCACAAAATCAATTATTTGGCAATCAATTAAGTCAAACGAGTATAAGTTGATTTTCTCCTCATTGATTGCCACATCTTCGTTTAGTCCCACCGTGATTAATTTGTCATTCTTTTCAAGTTGTTCTTTAAAAGTTGACTTATCTTCAGATTGAATTACCATCGAACTCCTCGGGCAATGGCAAGTCTTTCCTATTAATACTATCGAGTGGATATATATCACCCATTGTTGAAATGCATCCCAATACATGGAATCTCCTATAAGCATATCTTTTTCATCCAACTTGACAATCTTTAAAGTATTTTGCAAGTATTTTCTCACTCAATAGGGGAGAACCATCTCTCACAAATTTGATGTTCTCATCCCAATCGTCAAGTACAAAATCTCCCACAAGCATGTACTCCTCATCAGATTTGTCAATTGACAAGTTTATTTTATTGAATTATTTGGATTCAAAAATATCGATATTTAATAGTTTTTTTTGAGCAATTTTAGCTTAATTTATTTTATATTACGTTTATTAGATGAAACTCAATGAATGAAAATGAAATTAAAATAAAGAAGTGAAAAAGAGCAAGATCCAAAGTGTAGGGATTAAAGTGCAAAACTCAAAAGTTGTATTGGATCATAAGATGAAGATTCAAGAATATTAGAGATCAATTAGATGCAATTAGAAGTAAAAATGAGCTAAATATAATCAAATATTTTCAAAAATCAAATCTCAACTGCACAAGAATGTTCTAGATTTTTAGTCGGAGATAAAGACCTATTTTTGGCCTAGTAGTCATTCGAATTTGAAAATGAATTATCTTTACAACCCAATTTGAATCGTTTCAATCAGATATCGGGAGAGAAGTTATTATCAAAATTACTAAATGAGATGCAGTGCTAAGTTTTCTATAGAGGAACTACCCAATATGTCTTCGCGACGCTGCAATAACTAGGGTGTGTTGTTGGCTCATTTTAAAGCCCATAAAAATTCTAATTTGAGGAAAACGTGAAGGGAAGTATAAATACGAGAATGGAGGAAGTTTTGGGCGTCGGACACTAAGAAGAAGACACATAAAATTGGAGATTGAAGAGCGCAGATCAAAGGAGAAAAACATCAAGAAATTTAAAATTTGAAATATTGATTGGAAGAAGAAGAAAATCTTATTGCAAGATTAATCACTTTTTCTACATCTTTTTTCAAAATCGGGTGATACATTCAATAACAATTTCTTATTTTTCTTTTGTATTATGAATAGCTAAATTTCGTATTATAGCTAACAATGTAATCTATTTGAGGCTCTTTATTTTTTCTATTCAAGATTGTTGTTATTTAATCATATGTGTGTTGATTTTACTAAGAATTTAACGCATTAAATTACTTGATTACTAATTCAATGATTTTGTGAATCTTTTACCAATCGAGAGGTGAATTAAAGATTTAGACCACATAGTACAATTTGATAAATCAGTATAAAGTGTAGAGATACCTATATTGATTATTGCGGTTGTTTTATGAATTCTTAGAACTAATATTTCGTTTAACTAAGAATTGATTTGCATAAAGATATGAGATTGAATTAGTTAAATATGTTCAATTAGAACTCGAGAAAAGTAAATTGAATGCAATAGAAGAATTCGATCAAACACTACACTACATTAGATTATGAATCTTGAATTAAGATTTGAAGGTGATTAATATATGAAATTGTTATGTCATAATATCCATTCCATATTAGAATTCGAAATCAACCTTTAAGTGCATTTTGATATTTTCTGCTATTTTAAATTAAAAAAAATTATATTTCTTTGTTTGTTTTCATTAAATTGGATTTAGAAAAATTAGATTAAGTATTAAAGCATAGTACTCGTGGGAACGATAATCCAGATTAAAAGGTTCATTATATTATTTGTTACGATACAAAACTCACCAACTACCCACTTTGGTCAGGTTAAATGTTTGTGACTGATATTGAAATTCAATTACTGTCACATGATTGGTTCCATTATCTGCTCAAGCAGAAATATCGCCTTCCTTAGTTAAGAAATCGCAGTCTATTTTGCTAGAGTCGAGTTTTCTCAGATGAAAAGAAATGATGCAATATTATAAGGCCATATTTAATTTCGAATATACTAAGTATTTTAGGAAACTATTTTCAATTTTGATTTAATAGCTTTTATTACATATTTATTTCTTGGAATAGATCATTCAAAACCCTATATAAGGTGACTTATGCAATGTAAACGAACCATCTTGAAATGAAATTAAGCTCCCGTTTCGCCCTCATTTTTGAAAAAAGGAAATGGGTGGAATAGTATTTTTATTTTTTATTTTTTTTTAAGTGGTTAAAAAAGAAGGTAGTGGTTAAAAAAGAAGGAAAGTTTTCGATTTACGTGTAATATTATTTTATAAAACATTGTGTAGTTGAAGATATGAGAGAGAAAAATAAAATTTAATGGGGGCCAAACATGGCTAAGATTTATATTTTCCCCTCTTCTTCTATTGGTCCCTACTTTTCCTTCTCTCCCCATTCCCCATCTCCTACGGTTGTTCTATAGCATCCTGCGTAACTAAGACTCAATTATGCCTGGTTGAACTACAAAAAATGTAATAGAATTCCAAACTATGACCCCACAGAAACATAAAAAATATTGTAACAAACAGACACAATATCACCATAAATAAGATGCTAAATGGAATTACTCGTTCATTTGCTTGTTTAGTGCTTATTTAGAATAGATTAAAAGTTGCTAAACAGTTATAATATGTGGCCGTTTTTGAGTCACATTCTTTCAAAAAAATATATTCTTAAACAGTAAATTGATATCATTTCAACCACACATTCTTCAATAAAATAATATTATACGTAAATTCAAAACTTTTCCTCATTTTTTAACCATATATTTTCTATCAATCCACTATTCCAAAATACATTCTTCCAAAATAATGTGAGTCAAACACACAAAATCAATAATTGTTATTAACCACATATATTATGGAACCCACAATTTTTATCAATTTTTCAACCACATATTTCATCAACGATTAATGCTAAAAATTTTATTACAAACTCTATTAACCCCTTATTTTGTTTTTCTGATCTTTCTATGATTTATAACACATGCAAGATTATCCTTCACGAAATGCTAGGACAAATTACGGATATGCCAAAAAAAAGGCTTATCTTTGCCCGTGAAAAACACAAAGAAGAAATTTAAGGATTCCAAGCTAAAAATTTCAACCACCAAACTGCGAAACGGTCCAGGAGTCCTTCAAAAACCGCAATTGTGACATAATGATCTGAATACAGAACAGTATATAAGCTAATGTTTTAAAATATAAACGTAAAATGCACACAACCAAATATCAAGAGGAAATATGTGAATAAGAAGAATTAGTATTATATCTTCCAAAGAATTTACAAAGTACTGGGGGCAAGTTGATATTTATGAGGTTGATTCTATAAATCAGCATCATCTATGGTTTTTTCAATGAGGTCAATACAAGCACCTACGGAGCTTCCCTTGGACATGGCATCTGCAAGCATCGCTCGGGTTTTTTCATGACGACGCAAAATTAGGATGGTATTCAGTACGGCCCATCTTACTTGAGAATCAGCCTTTTTCTGGGTGAAACCCAGGCTCTTAAGTAACCTATCCAACTGCCAAGCAAATAAGTAAGTCTTAGCAATTTACTTTACATGGTATATAAACAGTTATCAGGAAGCAAAAATTAATTGGGAAAATTGCATTGTTCCAACCTTTTGACTGAGTTGTAAATTGGTTGTAATATTGAGGCAGGTGGCTTGTGTTGGGCAGGGTGTCTAGAGATCATGCACAAATTCTTTTCATTCTTATTTTCCTTTTTCTTTTCCATCTATTTCCTCTATTTGTTTGTAAAAGTAACTGTTTTTTATCCATTTTACTCTCATAATATTGCCTTACATGCCATGCATATGTCATTTTAACAAGTCTCCTAGGAAATTGTCCACTGGGTTTCATGATGCAACCAATTAAAAGGTTGGGACCAACTTCCTCCTCTTTGAAGGTTGGCGACCAACTACTACAACTTTCCCACAATTTTTAGATTACTTCAAATGTAGAAGGAAGCATGTTTTCTCAAATGATGAAGCAAGACTGTGTGCCTAGCCTAGTTGCATACTGCCAAGAACGTGGCCACATATAATTGGTGAATCTACTCGTGTACCTTCATCTTTTGAACAGTAATCAAAATATAAATGCCAGTCTTCAAATTTATCGATTTCTTTACCAGCAACAGCCATAGCTTCAGCAAGCTACACAATGTCCCTCAAACCCAGGTAAAATGCAGACTTCACGTCCAGTGGGGTTGGCAAGGTCACTACAAGGAGCTGCAACTATGTGATGCCTGAGGCGTAATAGATAAAGTCTATTGTTGCATATGCCTCTACTTGGGGTATTAGAACATTTTCTAAATGTAAAATGGTTAAAAATGCGTAATGCCAGCATAAATGTCCACAGAAGTTCAGAAATTTTGTGTAACATAAGAGTTACTTTTTACCTCCATGAAACAACATAGAATATCCTAGAATTGGTTGACATCTAAAATCACGTGGCTGAACTGTATTAAAAAAAAAAAAAAAAAAAAAAAGGCAGAGAGCATAAACACCGTGTTGATGTCTGCAAGACCTCCCTCTCCATAACCAAAAAGAAGATACTCCGTTGCCACACCTGCTAGTGCTATACATGCAAATCTGTTCAGCGTCTGGGGAAAAAAAAAAGCATTATCATCAGTATTTTCTATTTCTCATTAAAAAATAACGTAATAATTAAAATAATAATAATACACAGAGAAAAAGGTTTAACATACCGTCGCAGATACTTTCTCTTGGCTTACCTGCATTAGAAGAAAAGAGCCTTCATCAAAATATATCAAGTCAGCTTCAAGAATGCAGCATATCTCCTGCACCATTCTGTTATTTGTATGTTTGAAATCATTTAAATTTTTCTACGGTTAGTAATCATTGGTGGGCACAAATATATTTGGATTGCATTCAGACCAAAATCTATGCAGTCAATAATCATTAAAACATCTCAAAATTCTTATCTTTTTACATACTTCAGATCATATTTGATGGGAATAACTTATGCATTTCCAAGAAATTTTATTTGAAGAGTTTTTCCTGCTCTGACTATTGAGATTTTTACTTCTAAAATTTCTCCTCAGATCTTGTTCATATTAGTGTTGAAGTTGACATATACTATGTTTGACTATGATGTGGGGATCTTTCATTGATTTAGAATTTGACTATGCTAATATGTCTAACATTATCTCACAAAATTATAAATAGATTGACTTATTTCCTTTAATTTTTATTATCATTTTTTTTTAAATATTTTCAAATAGGCACTGTAAGGCATGATCTCAAAAACCATGAACGTCGCAAAATAGAAACAGCATTACTTGCAGATGAAACGCTTAAAACAGCAAAATTGCTAACCAGGAAGAAACCTCACAATATCCACAACCAAAACATGAAGGTGAGAAGATACTATGCAAGATGAAATTGGAAGGGCACTAGTTCAGCCCCCAAGTCCCAATATAACAATGGCAAAAACTCTATACAAATGAAGGGGAAAAAAATGAGAAGTGATACAGGAGGCAGTTTCCAGTGGAACTAATAGAGGAAACACAACTAGAGTGCAGAATAGGAGGTGGAAGAACAGTAAAAATTGTTAGAAGAAACCTACTTCCTCAAGAAACTCAAAATCCACAAAAGCAGTGCCAGCTTGAACATTGAGCGATCCTTCCTTCTTCAAAGCTTCCAAGCTGGTTAGTGTATATCCCCTCGGCAGGATTCCAAGCAAGTAAGCAATCAAGAAATGTCCAGCCTCATGCTAGGTCATGAGTGGATAACAATCAAGAAGTGATGCTAGCTTATAAAAATAGAAGGTGATCTATTGCCCATAAATATTTGTCAATGAAAAAAAAAAAAGAAAAAAAAAAGGATGCTAATAGGAGGTGAAAAAGTAAAGCCGCCGACGTGCATAAACATGAAAAATAGAGGGGAAAGAGATGAGTCTTACTTGGACAACCCTATTATGGTACTTTTGGCTGATCGAATGGCCTATTGTATCAAGAACCAAGAAACTGACTCCTCCATTGAAAGACACCTATGCATGAACACTTTGAAGAAAATAGTAAATTATATAAAGACCATAATAGTGTAGAGGAACCAAGCTGAGCTCAACGTATGCATGGTTCAAAAGAAGTATAAGATTTCAGCAACTTTAAAGGAAATTACAATATTATCTGATTGACCCTATGCACAGTCACATCTACAACTACGCATATCATATTGAGATCAAAATTAGCAATCCCTATCTAAAGGCAAGGTATTGGTATGTTGTTCCTAGCTAATCAACTCCATAAAGTTGCTCAACGGTCAAGGAAGTATGCATTGTTGGGCAGAAAGAAGGATTAAATTGCAAACACGCTCAAATTATTTGGATTCGAATTCTCATGTGAAATGCATGAATCCAATGCATCTTTGCTGCTTATGGCAATTCTTAGGTTCTCCATATTCCCCTCCTAAAAAATTTACTCTTTAACTTCTTGAAGAGTCCAAAAGGCAGGCAGTATAAACTTCGCACTATTCAAATGCTCAAAGCGCACTGAAATAATAACACCTCCCCAGGTTTAGCATAAAATGCAGAACAATTAAGTGTGGTTCATCAAAGTGCGGCAGATATTATACTCAAAATACAGGATTTCCATTTATGTTTAATACAGCCAATGCTCTGATTTTTTATATTCACTAAGTTAATAGTCTTCAATTATTAAAAAAGGAACGAAACTAATAGTTCTAATACCAAAGAATTAGTACCATTCAAGGAAAATTTATAAAATTAATTATGAGAATGGAATCCTCACTACAATCTAATAATTTAATAAATGTCTGTATGTAGTTTGTGCATATAATAGTAACTAATAGGGGAAAAGAAGGTGTACTCTAGATGATAATGCTTTTAGTCACTGAAAATATGTGAATAGAGTCTCTTCATAAGTAATAGCCATTAACGTCTTTTCTTTCACATTTTCATTATTTTCATCTTCCATCTATAAATTTTTCATTTGACAAAGATTAATAAAAGATAAAAAATAAGAACATAGAAGATAATCCTAAAAGCTATGTATATTTGTCCAAGTCATTAAGATACATGAAGTGTTAACTGTCAAACAAGTACTTCCAAATACCTCTATTCTTGAGATCCACACGTCCCTATGAAGAAACTCTTTCAAGGAAGTTCATATCATTACGGATTGTTTTCCCCTTTCACCTTTTGATTGAACAGTTGGATTATGTAACGGGGTTTCAGGATTCGTACATGTTAGGAGAGAGTGAAGGCTAGTAACTAGTAAGTCTTAAACCCATGCTTACAACTTCGCGATGGAGCACTATGGTCAGCCTTTGGCCTCTCATCAATGAGATTCCTTGTAATAATCTTCCACCTATTATTTGTAGGAATATTATTTGATCAGAGTTTTGTATTAACTTATTAAGCCCTTGTTTGGGCTCCATTTTAATGAGATTATAGGAAAAATGTATTTTAGAAAAGTAATTTTTTTAAGAATGTGAGGTTAAAATGTAAGGAAAGGTTTTGGGGTTACATGTAATATCATTTTAATAAAGAATGTGTGGTTAAAGATGAAGAAAGAGAAAAATGTATTAAATTATAATGGAGTCCAAACAGGGGCTAAAACTTAGGATGGTACATCCTTTCATTCCCAACTGAGGCAAAGCTCAACAGAAAGGGCAGAAGAAATGAGTGGTAGGAAGGAGATATGAGAGAGATTGAACATCGATGTTTGTTCAAAAAAGATTCATTATAGCTCTATTTACTGAATAATCAGTGGCAAGTCAAAATGTTTCAAGTGAGAAATTTCCAAAACTGCCAATGTATTGCGTACATTAATTTGAGGTTTCTCCTCGTTGTTTTGATGGAAAGTGGAATTCTAAAATTGTTGGACACCAATACGCCAAGCTAGGCTAAGAATCACAAAATTCGTATTAACACTCATTGCATAGACTGCTAATATTTAGTCATTAGAAGAAAAGAATAAAAGAATATGCCGGGGATAATGAGTAAGAAATACATCAAGGATAGCAACTGATGCATACACATTTACTTGGTCTATTCAATCATTCAACACATTATCAGATTATCCCATGCATATAGGAGTAAAACATTATTGGATGATGGTTTGAACTTAATCCAAGTATAGGGCTTCCTGGAGTTATATGTTGGACTTTGTTGCATATTTGCATTAAGACATCCTCATTTTCATCCCACTTTGTCATTCTTCTATACTACCTTGAAGACACGTTATTTTCTGGATTTCTTTTTCTATCCAAAGTTGCAAAATTTCATGGCAAATATTTTTCATTTCAAAGACGGGATTAAAGTGCTTTTCCCGAAAGAGAGAGATTAATAGCTAGAAATAGGCCACAGGAAATTTAATTTGATATCTTCCTTTCAAGAAAAAATAAAAATAGTATTTTTTTTGTCAAATACCCAAAGTATGATAACTTAGTCAATTCCTACATCTTAAAGCATTACTTAGAATGTTAAGGGAAGCGAAGCATAGTTTAGATATGCGTACCGCATCTAAGGTCCACAGCAACAACAATCCAAGGGAGGAAAATAGGATTTGTTGTGGACTTAATCCAAACACGTTCCACGCAGCTACTCCTCCCAAGAGAACAGCAATCTGCAAGTTTCTCTCTATAGAACCCAGTGTAGAATCTACTGGTGCTAGAAGAGATGCAGTTTCTATTCCATTCAGTCTCAGCTCATCCAAAGTGTAAAGCCTCTGAGGTATCTGCATATAGTCTATTTTATAAAGCCCTTGTTTGGCCCCCATTTTTTTTTCTCATTCTTTTTTCTTTTTTATTTTCAACCACATAATCTTCCATAAAATAATATTACATGCAAATCAAAAACTTTTCATTCTTTTTTAACCACACATTTTTCAAAAAACACTATTCCAACCATTAAAAGTTAGAAAGAATGGGGGCCGAACAGGGGCAAAGTTAATTAGAAGCACAAATTCATTTGGGGCATCTTTTTATGAAATTGATATCTTGTTCACTTCACTAAATGACCACGAGAAGATATTGGGAAGAAAATGAGCATGCTTGCCAAGTGTTTATAAACAGTTTAAATTATAAACAGATAGAAATAAGTGGTTCGAGGATATGGATAAAAAGTAGCTTTGAGTCTACATAAAGCGTTTATATAAACATGAGCCAAACATATATAAAAGAGAAACATGTTATGAGAGATCATCATTCCTCGAAAGCGAGATAAATATTTGATGATATTTTTCAAACAATCATGGAGAGAGACACATTTATATTTAAATCCATTCTTCAAAAATCCCTTTCACATGCAGGTCTGTGTTCATTTTTCATCCAGTAACTTACATATCCACAATTTTCATAAACAGGAAGACGGCCAGACTTGAACTCGAGAAATCTGCATGCTTATATCTTAAACCACTTCATCTACAAGTCACAACGTTACATTTGTTTTTCTAAATTAGTCTTCAACCAACTCGATATTCTGAATTGAACCATCTCACTTTTCAAACACAATTTGTGCTATAACTAGAAATCATCACAATCTGTGCACCGGACAAGCACAAAAACCTTCAAAAAGCAATTTAACAATTCATACAAATACAAGCAAGAAGGAATTGGATTACACAACATATAAGAAGGGAATACACAAAATAATCACAATTATAATAAGCAAGGGCCAATTGCATGAACCTGGCGAGCGGCGCCAAAGCATCGGAGACAACCGGGCTTGCCCTGTAAATCCTTAACAAGATTCAATGCTGCCCTCTCATCTCCCTTGCTCAATTCCTTGTCCAATTGGTCCAAACCTTTCCACCTCGAGCTCAGCCCGCCATCCCCTCCTCCTCCACTAATTGGATTCTCAAATGCAGCGCTTACTATCCGAGGATGGCGGGAAAATATTACTCCATTACAACACATCATAATACCGCTCCCCATTTGATATACAACTGAATTCAATACTAAAATAATGCAAAAACAAATGTGGGGTTTTCACTTATATTGTTTTTGATTTTGCTTGCAAAGATCATGCCGAAACATTGAGGTTCACAGAACCACAGCCATCCTCCACGATACAAGATAATGGATAATGCGGAAAGATCAAAATGCCGTCGTTTTGTAATTGGGTTAAATTTGTATTTATCTATTTATTTTTATTTTTATTTTTATTTTAACTAAGCCCTTTTATTTCCTTTGCTTCCGAAGTGTGTGTTTGATTACATTTATTTTCCATGAAAAATATTAGTTTTTCACTTAAATTTTTAGTTGGAGTGTTTGATTCCTTTTTTTTTTCATGGAAAACATTTTCCAACTTTTGAAAGTATGCCTAATTTTCCTTGTTTTTAAGGAAAATATTTTCCTTGGGTAGAAGTGGTGTTTATTTTCCACAAAAGATGGAAAATATTTTCTTTTTTAGATGATATTTCTCATGTCAATCAAACACACTCTAATAGTAAATAATAAATATATTTTGATCCCTGAAATTTATGATCATAGGTGAAAGTTTAAGGAACCGAGAAATTTTCAGGAAAATTTAGGTTGCGTTTGGTTTGGTTTCTCGTTTTCAAGTCGTTCTCTATTTTTAATTTTTGAAAATACTCAAAATGTGCTTGGTCTATTGTTTCCGAAAATGCATATCAAAAAACAAGGAAAAATTTATAACTGAAAACTCAAAATAAATTTTTTTTTTTCCATTTTGAGTGTTTTTAGTTAAAAAAAAAAACTCAAAATCTGGAAAATATTCAATACACGCCAATTTTTTTGATCCAGGGGATGCTCGGCAATACTTTTAAAATAAAATATTATAATCTGATACAATTTAGTGAAGTATAATAATTTTAAAAACCACAAAACATTTATCAATTTCCATTATTGTTTTTTTCATTGATCAAAATTTGGAAGAATTGTTATTTCCTTTTTACTCTCTAAATGACAGCAAAATAAATCGAGAAGGATGAAAGTCGGACTAGCTATTTTCTTTACAACAATTCCTATTATTGGTGTATAAATTTATTATTTTATTTTCGTTACAAGAAAAAAATAGTAAGTTCACCAAATTTATAATATATATTATTTGGTAATATATTAGCATAAAAGTATTATATTTTACTAAATAATCAAATTAGTTGAATAAATATCATAAAACAATTTTTAAAAATTTTAAACCAAATACATTTTCTTGTTTCTATTTTGAGAAACAGTTTTTCAAAATGACAAACCAAACATATTTTTTTGTAATTTAAAAATAGTCCCTCAAAACAGAAAATAGAAAATGAATTTAAGACTAAAAACGGAAAACAGAATCGCAAACCAAACGCAGTTTTAAAGTTTCATAATTTTTTTTAGTCGTATTTAGATTTTTAGATTGTTTGTTTTCTAAAAGAAAGAATCGCCCAATTTTATGTCGGATGACTACTAAATAAGCATGTGATCCATTATTTCAAGGGATCATGCCAACCCATAGGCCGTAACCTGAATTCCCATTCTTCAAGTGAATATTTGGCGGGAAGTTTAATGATATTTGTTTGTCCTTGCGGTCGAGAAATGCCCTTTTCATCTTCTTTATTGTATTTTTCATATCATTTGATGTTAATGAAGTAATAATATTTTTATTAAAAAAATCAATGTCTCCAGTCTAGGTAATAATATAAATTATAGAATCAACTAACTAAAAAGGTTTAGTATCCATTCTTCGACAACAACAGAAGTATATTATGACCTATCAACGAGAGTTACCACTCACTAGTTACGAACGAAATGTACCTTCTTATTACAAAGTTTTTTTCAAGCGTAAATAACTTTGGGATTTCTATTATACAATTGAACGTGTCTTTACAAGAAATATTGATATGATGGAAAAAAGAAAAATTATTTCTTGAACATTTTAACTTTGAAATAGTGTCAAGTGATCATTTTCTAGGATTTACTTTTTTAACTAATATTTTTCATTTTGACCATAGTAACCCGGCTATTTTCATTTTTATTTTTTCAAACATTATATGAAATAGTTGAATTTGATCGGGATTGAGTCACTCCATGATGAAAAAACGAGAATTACTAATATAAAAAAAAAAAAAAAGAACAAGAACAAGAACACACATTTACGTGAAAATTTTGGATGAGAAAAAATCATAGACCGAGGAGAAGCAAAACCCACTATATCGAAGATGAATACAAATGAATAGAGTTTTGGACAGCTAATCCAAAATCGTGACGAAATCCGAGAATACGTCATATACATGTGAGTGGGCACAGGTCTATCCGCAGGGCGTATCCCCCGTACCTCCAACGTGATCGGTGGTGGTCTGGTTGACTAATTGAGTACAATTGGGTGAATATGTTATGGTACCAGTATTCATCTTCTCTTTTGTTTTGCCTATAGGGCCTATTCCATGTTTCACATTTTCGGCATTTTTCTTGATATTTAAAAATCAATCCATACATCAAGTAAGTTAATAAATTAATATGCAAAATATGACCCATACTTTTTCAACAATTCTTACAGAAAATAATTTCTTTTTATAGCTTCATCCTTATTTTTATACAGATATACATAATAATATTTTTTGTCATTATTGACAAAATAACGAAGTACTTGTTGTAACATCTTGTTTTTATAAATTTTAAATCACATACCTCGTTGTGAATTATATCGAGTGATTTTATATTTCTTTTAATTGATTTAAATGATGGCCTTGTCAATTTAACATAAACACAAGATTCACACTTATATTTAAAATCAATATAGAACACAAGTATATAATTCAAGTTGACTAATCTATGCAAATTATCGTACTATCAGACACATAATCCTTTCTGACAAACATTCCACTCTTAAACAATATAACTTTGTCTAACTCAAATACAATACAAAAATCATGTTTATTTAGAAGCGACTCGAGACAGTAGGTTTTTGTAGATTTTCAACACATACACACATTGTTAAAGTTAGCTCTTTCTTGAAAGTCATCTTCAAAACTATATTGTCTTGACCCTTAATTTCAAAAGTCGTCGAATTTTTCATGAGCAACTTCTCCCTATTTTTAGTTGCTTTAAATGAAATAAAGAGCTCTTTATCAGAGCATACATACCTTGTAACATCAGTGTCAATCCAACACTCTTTTGGTTTTAAACCCACCAAATTCACTTCAAAAATAATGGTTGCGAGATTCATCTTTGACACATCATGGGTTATGTGATCAACCACATTTGCTTCTTTTTTATTGTTTTCCTATTACAATCTACATTTCGAAGATTTATAACCTACTTTATCACAATTGAAGTATTTTTCTTGAAACTTCTTATTAGAAATTCACATTTCGATCCCAACTTAGCCATTTTCCACCAGATGGCCAAAACTTGTACTTGAAGCTTCTAGAATTTTGACCATGCTTCCCAACATTAGCTTTGGGCACAATAAGATTGAACTCCTTCCTTTTCGAACTTCTGTTATCTACTTTGATTCGAAGTCTACTAATAAATTGTTCAACGTTCATTTCCTTTCTCTCGTGCTTAAGGTAATTTTTAAAATCATTCCAAGCTGGAAGTAACTTTTTAATGATTGTAACCACTTGAAAAGTTTCACTCAAATTTATCCTCCTGATGTGAATTTTATTTAAAATTACTTAGAGTTCCTGTACATGACTAATGACAATTATGGAATCCATCATTTTATGATCTAAGAATTAGCCAATGATGAATTTCTTAGCCTTGGCAACTTAATCTTATATTGTCGATCTAAAGACTCCCACAATTTCTTAGCCATTTTCACAATACTATAGTTGTTGTATAATGAATGAATCAATCTGTTCATGATACAGTTACAACAAAGGGAATCAAAATGTTTTCAAGAATCTAGTGCACTGATAGCTTAGACATAACCCTCACCCTCATTGAATTTTAAAGTAGTCTCAGTCAAGAACCTCGTAAGATATAAGATAGTTAGGTAAACACAATATTTTTTGTCACCACAATTTGAAATTCATGAATTTCTCTGATTTTTCCCTATGATTAATGAAATCGTTAATGTACAGCCAATTTTTTGAACCACTGTTTGGCTTACAACATGATTAAACAATTTAGCCATAGTTTGGGTCGCAGCAGAACTTGGCCCTTGAGCCATAATCCGGTTTTCAGTCACCACATCCATGATGATTGATTTGGTTGACATTTTTGAAAAATTAAATCAATATTAGCTCTTTAATGAAGATTAAAGTAATCACTCATTTGTCTCTTTTAGAGTCTATTTTAACTTTGTTATAAAAATAATTTGCAGAATAATATATTTTACTTATATACTTAAGAAAACATAATCGAAATTAAAAATTGAACAATAAACTATTTAGAATTACATTTTTTGAAGGTGGTTTATGCTAACTCGAACTCTTGATCTTGAAAGTAGAATTTATTACACAATTCCACCTAAACAAGACGAGCTAGTAACTATTTAGAATTATATAATGGAAGAAATTTAGCAAATTGAGGCCAATATAATGTAGTGTCCTTAAAATAAAATCGCTCTCTCACTGTAAGTATTTGAGGTTTCTTTCGTCTGTCTCCCTTGTGTAAACATGTGGACCCTCCTAAGACTTCAAAATTTTATTTAAATTGCAGTCTTATTATTTAGAAAAATAGAAATATGTTTTTTATTTGGAATAAAAAAAGTAACTAACTGGATAATATGTTATCATTATACTTATTATAATAGTTTTAGTTGGAAAATTGAACATTTTTTCAATATATTCGCCAATTTTCAGTCTTAAATTTATGGACGTAAGTCGCACAAGCACATAAGTTCAAGGTTTAAAGTGCTATTTTGGTTGTGATTTACACTCTTTGTGTGCGTACGTAGAGAGAACCTTCATGCTACACATAATTATACCTTCCAAAGCATAGCCATATATAAAATTGTCATTGCCTCTTTCAATTTCCTATGTGGGAGAAACTTTTATTTTTTTCTCTCCAACACATAAAACTCTTTTCAATTGGTATACGTTGAACTACAATTTCTCATTCATCCGAGCATCGATTTTGTTAAATAAATATATAATTTTAATGTTCTCATGAATGAGAACACATGTCTACTTTGATCTTCCAAATTA